TCCAGTGGTCAGACAAATGGCCCTCGTTAAACCAAGTGGCTTACAGAACAAGACAGAGGCATGAATAGAGGAAAGGGATGGAAGCAGGGATGTCAGGGCTGGGTGAGAGATACGGGGCTTGGGTATCTTTTGTTTACTTGTCTTGGCCTTGTTCCCTGTGACCTCTTGAGCACAATTATAACTCTCTTCAGATTGATATGCCTGAGAAAACACAAAAGCAAACAAAATTGCAGGAATTAATATACATCTTTCAACAATGGTCTCAATTGCTACACAGAAAGACACTAACAGATTGGATTAGAAAACAGAATCCATCTTTTTACTGCCACCAAGAAACATACCTCACCATCTCATTGGCACAGGAAAGGCCTTTTTGAACAGGATCCTGGTAGTGTAGCCATTTCGGCCAACAATTAATAAATGGGACATTAGAAAATAAAAACCTTTGTACAGCAAAGGACACCAGCATCTGAGTGAAGAGGCAGCCTAAAAAATACAAAAAAATAAATCTTTACCAACTATATATACAAGGGTTAGTATCTAGACTACACAAAGAACTCAAAAAGCTAAACATCAAGAAAACAACCCAATTTAAGATGAGGCATAAACCTAAGTAGAAGCCAAGTATGGTGGTGTCTGTCTTTAATCCCAGCACTTGGAAGGCAGAGGTAGGCAGATCTCTGAGAGTTTGAGGCCAACCTTGTTTATATAGTGAGTTCCAGGACAGCTAGAGCTTCTTCAAAAAAAAATTCTCAGAAGTTGAACTACAAATGGCTCTGAAATGCTTTTTAAAATTCTCAACAGCCTTTGTCATCAGGGATATAAAAATTAAAACTTCTTTGAGATTAATTCTTACTCCAGTCAAAATGGCTAAAATTATAAAAAACAAAACAAAACAAAACAAAGTTGACAAATTCATGGATATGGGGAAAAGGGAGCACTATTCACTGCTGGTGGGAGTACAGACTGGGGCAGCTATTATGGGAAACAGTGTGGCGTTTCCTCAAAAAGCTAGAAATCGATTTGGCACATGATCCAGCCAAACCACTTTTGGGCACATACACAAAGGACTGTATATCCTCTTACAGACAAACCTGCTCACCCAAGTTCACAGCTAATCTCACAGTAGCCAAGAAACAGAAACACCCTAGATTTCCATTACTGATGAATGGACCACAAAAATGTGATACATTTATGCAATGGAATATTACTCAGATGTTAAGAAAAATGAAATTGTAAAAGTCTCAGGTAAATGAGTGAAGCTAAAGCAGCCGTTCTGAGGGGAGTAACCCAGACTCAGAGAGATAGGCAGTACATGTCTTCTCTCATTTGTGAGTAAATCCTCATATATGTATGCTTCATTTGGACTTCCCATAAAGGTCAGGAAATTAGTAAAAGGCTATGGGGGGGAGTTTCAAGGAAAGAGAGCTAGAACACGGTGGCAGGAGGTCTTAAAGGGGGTTAGTGGAGAGGAAAGGGTTAATTGGGGGAGGAAATGGGAGAGTAGAGGGGAGGAGGGAATACAGGGAAAGAGAACTAACACTGAATATCTCTTGAAAACGTCATATGAAAATGACTATTACTGTAGAAGTGCGGTCATTATTACTGTAGAAGCCCCCATATGAAAATTAAATGGAGCCCACCCTACAACAAAGCCCTTACTAGACACCTCAGTCAAATAAACAAAAAGCCCAGTGCCAGGAGTAGGTAACCTCTTTTAGCAATGTTGGGTAGTGAGGTCCCACAGATCTCCAAACATTCCAGGCTACTGCCAATGCTCTTGGTTTCCCTCTGGACCTTGACGGTGAGGCCCTATCGTGAAGACACCACACACCCAAGTCAATGGACTTGGGTCAAGTCAAGCTGCTGTCACGCTCACCCAGAGGCTCCACCCCTTGGCTGGCTTTTCCTGTGCTGGGGGCTGCTGTGTGTGCTAATGGAGGAGAAAAGTAATCATCAGTCATAACTCAGGGTTACAATAACTACTGACCTGGGAAGACATGCCCACTCAGGCCAAAGAGGCCTATCGTTAGAGTGACTAACTTGGATTTAGGGCCGGTTCCACAAGAGGAAGCCCATACCTGGCAGTTGTTGGTGCCAAGACCCTGTGGCTAGACAGATCAGAAGCCCCAGAGGAGAACCTACTACTGTTCTACTAAATGGACATAGCATTTATGGTGCTTTGAATGGAATTGGCCCTATAATCTCATAGAGAGTGGCACTATTAGGAGGTGTGACTTTGTTGGAGCAAGTATGGTCTTGTTGAAGGAAATGTGTCACTGTGGGGGCGGGCTTTGAGGTTTCTTATGCTCCGGATGCCCCCCAGTGTCTCAGTCGACTTCCTGTTGCCTGCAAGATGTGGAACTCTCAGCTCCTTCTCCAGTACCACATCCGCCTGCAGGCTGCCATGCTCCTCATCATGGCAATAATGTCCGGAACCTCTGAAACTGTAAGCAAGTCACCCCAACGAAATGTTTTCTTTAGAAGAGTTGCCGTGGTCATGGGGTCTCTTCACAGCAATAAAGACCCAAACTAAAACAGTACTAAACCAACTTATAATTTTACCCATTGATCTATGCATCTCTCAACCCTCATTAGAGAAGTCTCTTTCTTCAGTAGTTGATGGCTAAAACAGATACCAGTAACTGGCAAGAAGTAGTGAATAGGAGACTGTGGGGTATTCAGCCATAAAAGGAATATCTACATCACAGTCCCGTTTCCAAAGGCTCTGAGAGGGAAAATGAGCACAGAATCCCACCCTAGCTGAGGAGCTACGGGCAATAGTAACTGCTGGGAGAGGGAGAGTCTGTTGTCTTTAAGGGTGTGGTCCCTGGTCGGTGGTCCATGCTCCAGCGGAAGGCCACACCCCCAAGATGGGCAACCCGAATGAATGAACTGGATAGAAAAGAGGAGGAGGAGACACAAAACTGGTTAGGTCGGAAGTGAATTTGAGATGGGAGGGGCGAGTACAATCAAAATCCAGTGTGTGAAATTCTCAAGGAACTGTAGCAAAATGGATGTGAAGTGGGAGAGGAACAAGAGTAAGCTGGGTGTGTTACACACACATGAAATTGCTGAAGAAGGTATGGAATAAAAATTAAGAAAAAAAAAAGATACCCCTCCCAGAACCCCAGACTGTGACCTTGTTTGCAATAAAGGTCTTTGTAGAGACAAAGAAGGAAAGAGACCTGAGATGAGACCACACTGGATCAGTGGCCTTAGGGGCAGCAAAAGCCCACAGGATGCAGGGAAAGGCCACGCGCGATGCAGGCAGGCAGAGTGGGAACATGCTGCCACAGGTCATAGATGACTCTGGTTGTCAGAGCTGGAAGATGGAAGTCCTCTAGAGCCTCCAGAGCCGTCACAGCCCCGCCACACACTCATTTTAGACTGCCTCCTCCAGAGCCAGCGCAGAGTAAGTTCCTGCTGGTTTAAGGGTCCCAGTGTGTTACAGAAGCTGTCGGGAGTGGGCACTGCACAGGTCTTGACTACTGCTGGTTTCTTAATCGCTGTTTATCACTGTGGATATTTCCTCAATCATGGGTGAAACAAGTTAGTATCATGGAGAGAGTAAAAATAACACTGTAAAAATAGCTTCTTTGTGAGCCAGTTAACTCACAGCTGGAGGAACTGAAGTTCAAGGGAAGGCCGTGGAAGACTGGGAGACCTGTTCTAGACCACAGTTGCCCTGGCCGGTGAGTCCCTTGTCTTCTCCTGGGTGGCATGACGCTTGGGGCTGCACACGGTGTCCACCAGCCCACACAAAGAGCAGAGTCACGCGTGGCCAACAGGAAGGCTGTACTCCCTTCTCACTTCTTCCCTCTGCCTTCTGATTTGGCAGTGGCAAACATCCACTTTTCATCCTTTGATCGTTTTCAAGAATTTTGAAAGATCAATGTGTCATGCTTTTTCAAGCCAGGCCGCTGGACATCCCAGTTCTCCACTTGCTACCCACAACCCTTAGCTCTCCATCAGGTGGGCTGTGCAGCAGCAGGCCAGTCGGCTAATATCGGAGCGAGATCCATGGACCTGGTGTGCATGGGACTGGCATCTGCCAGAGCCAGCATCATGGTGCAGTTCATGGCCTGGGCAGATGTGTAGTCTTGGACAGGGAGAGTGGGTTGGGCCTCAAGAGCCATGGTGTGTGAGGGTGTGCATGGCCTGTGGCTCCCTCATACTGTGCATGGAAGCAAAAGAGCGCAGGAGATCTTGAGTTTATACCACTTGTCCGAGCCTCCTAGCCTGAATACCCTTTTCAGCCCAAGACTGTTTGTATTGTAAGGAGAGAGTTCTTCCATAGGCCATCCTGGAAATGCACTTGGTGAGTTCCTGCACTGAATGTCTTTTCCTTCCTGAGGATTTAGGTTCAAGAAGCAGCACCCAAGGGTCACCTTCCCTAACCTTGTATTCGTTGTCCTCTGAGAAAGCATCCTGAGGGCCAAGAACGTGGGTGTTCTTATAAAATAAAATATTAATTTATATATTTATATTATATATATTTATAATTTATTTTATTGTATATGTATACATGTTGGAGAAGGGCTGCTTGTTGGTTCCCAGCCACTTAGCTCCGAAATAATCACACAGAAACCATTTTAATTAAATCACTGCTTGGTCCATTAGCTCCAGCTTCTTATTGGCTAATGCTTACATATGAATTTAACCCCTTTCTATTAATCTTTATATTGCCACGTGGGTGTGGCTTACCAGCTAAAGTTCCCAGCATCTGTCTCCGGTGGTTCCATGACTTCTCCCTCTGACTCTGCCTCCTTTCTCCCAGCATTCAGCTTAGTTTTCCCTGCCTAGCTCTGTTCTCCTATAGCTCTGCTATAGGCCCAAAGCAGTTTCTTTATTCATTAACCAATAAAAGCAACACATAGACAGAAGGACCTCCCACACCATACACACTCCTGTGTGAGTTTATGTGTACCACATGCATCCCGGTGCCCACAGTGGCCAGAAGAGGACCCCAGATCCCTTGAATGGAATCACAAGCTATCATGAGGTCCCCGATGTGAGCGCTGGGAGTTGAACCCAGGGCCTCTGCAAGAGCAGCAAGCACTCTTAATCACCACAGCCGCCCAGCCTCTTGCTGCAAACTTCATGCAGATTTTTCTTTTAGATTAAAAAGAAAATACAAGGTCACCAGAAAGGTGGAAACAAATTCTTTGAAGGATTCTGCTAGGTCTCCAAGGCTGCTGGAACATTCTTAGCCTCTTATGGCAAGTGGCAGGATCATAAGTCATTGGGTCCAGAGGGACCAGGTGCCAAGCCCATGGGAAGATGGGGTGTCCTGCCCAGCCCTTCCAGCTGGGCTCTTCCTAGCCCTGGGGTGGGGGCTCCTCCCACTCCACAGAGGTGCTTTTCCTCTATGTACCTCAGCTGCCCGCTGTTTCCCCATAATCTTCCCAAATCCACCCCATTCTCTTTTGAGACTCTAGAACATCCTCATAGCCGTGAAAACTTCATCAGCGTCTGGGATGGGGCCTGGACTGAAGCAGGCCGGGCTGTCAAGTCTAGGTGAAGGGGTGAGCAGTTTACTTGTACGTGAGTTTCCTCTGGAAGGAGGTAGCTTGGTTTGTATGATGCTGACTTTACAGGCCACTTGCACGTGAGGCCTGGGCCTGTGGCCATGACAATGGTATCCTGACCTCGGCTTCTTTTCTTGGCTTATCAGGTGTGATGACTCTATTGATGGTCCTGTGGGGTGACACCTGTTTTTTAGGCCAGTACTTGCTCCCTCAGCCCATCCCCGTTTCTTCTATACTCCCCCATTCCAGCCACTACACACACATGTGCACATACATGCACATATGCATGCACATATATACACAAACAGACACAGCAACATTCTATTTCTCTTATATTCTTCCATTCCAGCACATCTGCACACAAAATTACTGATGGACACCCCCCCCACCAAAAGCTCTTGCCAGACCAGGAGAATTAACTTCCAAGCTCAGCCCCCTGCAATTCCCTTAAAGCCCCACCATCCCTTCTTCCAAGAAGATTTTTGTCTTCTCACTCCTTCCAGGCCATAGGACCAGCTGTGTCCTCCTCTCTGCGTCTCCCAAGATCCCTCGCTCCTGTATCTGCTCTGGCAGCATCTGCATACTTTCTAGTGTGCATGGCAGTTTCTATAGCGCTTTTTCTCCCACAGACTCCGAGCCCAGGACTACAGGAAGCCAAGTCCAGCCCTGTGGACCCACCCTGTAGCTCAGCGAGGATATTTGTGCTTGCATGTGCCGGTGGGTGTGGAACTGAAGAGAGTCAGAAGGGGGCTCCCACGTCAAACAAAAAAGATCTCAGATCTCCCAGGTATCTCAACAGCTCAGACTCCCAGGTCCCTTTCCATCCCACCTGCTTGCCGGGCATCAGTGGTTCAGGGATGCTGGCCTCTCAGGCTCTTCTGGAGATATCAGGCATGCCAGGTTTGGAACTGTGTGCTCATCTCCCCTCTTGGTTGCACAGGACAGGAGCCCAGAGAAGTCACGTGTATGGGGAGGTAGTGAGGCTAGAGATTTCTCCAAGAGCTAAATGAAGCCCTGGCCGCTCATAGGCTACATCAGCGTGGCACAGGGAGAAGATTGTGGACCAGGAATTAATGCTGCAAGCACCCTAAACAGAACCCAGCCTGCGTCAGCACTCAGCCGTAAACTCACAGCCGTCAAGCTATATCCTATGAGACACTGTGTGGGCGGATGACCCCACTTCTAGGGGAGGAAGCTGATTATATAAGCAGTAGGCTGGCATGTGAGAGGGCCTGCTTTACCTCACCGCTGTATTGACTCTGTGGTGTAAATGTATTTGGAGCATCTGATGGCAGTGGTGGGACATGGCTCCACATGACCTCCTGATTCTTTCCTTCATGCCCTGGAGTGTCTTTCCTGCCTGGCTCTCCTCTTTCTTTCTTTAGCTACGAGGAGCTCCCCAATCCTTAGACACTCACTCCTTCTAACAAGATCCATTCCTGGTTTATTTTCATCAGAACCACCGACTACCCAAACGTTCCTCTTTCAGAGCTGACCACGTGCTCAGGGTTGGGTGTTCATGAACTGAATTTTCACTGACAGTCACCTTACACCCCGTCCCCTCCTCCACCTTCTCCCTGACACTGGACACACAGAGGGGTACAGTCAGGAGGTTGTAAAGAGATTCTGCTGGAGCGAAGTCCCAGGGCCTCAGCACCAAGCTCACCATTCCACCAAATCCCTGGCATGAAATATTACCTTGTACATCCCGGAGCTGTTCAGGAGGAGACCCCAGAGTCCAGATGGACTAAGACCGAACAGGACATGGACCCAGAGTTTGTTTTGACTGATGCAGGGATGGAGACCACAAATCTTGCTCTCTGATGCCCTGGTCCTCACTCGGGGCTGCTCTTCAAGGGCCTCCCCTGCAGCCTTTCACAAGTTATAAGGACGCAGGACACAAGCTACTGTTCCCGCATAACACAGGCGCTTTATCCGAACCTTAGCCATGACAAATGTAGGCTCTCTACAAGGGATAACAAATAAATACAAAGCGGCTCTAATGGAAGATTAAAGAAACATGAACCAGGGCCCATGACTGGAACGGCCTCTCTCTGCTGCCTCACACATTTGCATTTTAATTGGCATTGTGAAGTATTCCCAGCTGTGTTCTGAAGGTTCCACCTCTCTTCCCTTGGCAAAAGAACATGTCATGTTGACTCCCTTTGGGCCTTGTGATGGGGCCACCTAGGGCTGCCCAGGGTTTCAGGCCCTGGAACAGATACGGAAGCCTGTCATTCGGACCCTGGCCCCAGGGACCTGTACTCTGAACCTTGGTTGTCAAGGGGTCAGGAGACCTGGCTCTGAGCACCCTGCTCTGCCCTCTCAGGAGTCACGCTGGCTGAGAAGTCTCCCAGGCTCGTGAACCTCGGTTTGCACTGGGTGGAGTGACGTTGGTAATGAGGGTCCTGCCAGTGATACCCGTGGCCTGTGGCCCGTGACTAACCTATACAAATGCTTTCCTGACTGGGAGGGGCTTGCCCAAACACAAGCAAGCTGTATTTCTGTTCAGCTCTCAACCCTCAGCTGGGTAATTAAGAACTCATGGGCATTATCTACCTGGGACACAGACCGCCAGTTCCCAGGGCCTCTTCTGACGGACTTTATCCCCACCCCCTTACCCATCAGGCTCTGCTGCAAAACTGGTGGTCTGCTACTACACCAGCTGGGCCCAGTACCGACCCGGGGCGCGCGATTCTTACCAGGGGCATAGACCCCAGCCTGTGTACCCATCTCGTCTATGCCTTTGCTGGCATGGACGGTCACCAGCTCAGCTCTGTAGAGTGGAACGACAAACTTCTCTACCAGGAGCTGAGCAGCCTAAAGAAGATGTGAGCCAAATGGGAGGAGGGGTGATGGGTGGACAGATTACCCCTCTCCCATCCAGAAACCCTGGATCATTGCATCGACCTGCACCTGCCCCCTCCCCCGTCTCTCTCTGCTTACCTGTGCTTATATAGAAGAGATAGGGGTAGATGAAAAAATTGTAAAGGCCCCTTCTGATTTAAATCTAAGCAAGGTCAGAACAGCAGAACTGTTTTCTACCCTGAGCAATTTTCCTCCTTTTGGGCATGCTCTAAAATGTATCTATCTTGAGCTACCTTACAAAGCCCCTCTGAGGACCCTGGTCACTTATTTCCTGAGTTCCTTGGGAATGTGCTCCTGTGTAATGCTGCCCCAGTTAGACACAGGGTCCTCTTTGTCACACACATCTTTGCTGTCCCAAGCCACATCTCTAAACGCACTCAGCATAGCTATGTATACGGGTCAGCACAAACTCAGGCCTGTTCCTACTGTTCCTCTCACCTCAGCTCTTGTCTGTCCTACACACTGGTAAGATGCAGCCTCGCACATCTCTTGTCTTTTCAGGAACCCCAAGTTGAAGACTCTGTTAGCTGTCGGGGGCTGGAACTTTCGTACCCAGAAGTGAGTGGACTTGGACGAGTGGGTGGCAGAACCTTTGGAAGGGAATGTGGCACACTGGCTGACAGAGCCTCCGCAGGGAAGGTAGGGCAGGCCAAAGCATGACAAGGGGTGGGGTCCTGGACCATGGATTTTTTTTTCACTCTGGTTCTAGGCCCTTATCAGGTTAGGACGGCAGTGGTGCAGGCTTGGCTCCAGGTTGCATAGATCCGTCTTATCAGAAGGCCAGAATCTAAAGCAGCAGAGAGCTCTGACCCCTCCAGCCTCAGTTTCCTCCTCCATGAAGTGGCAGAAGAGGGGACCAGGGACTCCAGACAGCACACAGCCTATTTTCTGAGTGCTTGAATAAGAAATCTTGTCAGTGAGATTGAGCTTGGCTGCCAAATTATTGTCCACATCTGTAATGGTTTTTTATTTATGAAAATAATGGAGCTAAAAATATCCTAAAGATCTAGAATATATTGTTCTCAAAACTTTATATAGTTAAAAAATATTTTAGTGCTAAGAGACCTTTTGAGAATTCGATGGATGTTATGACTCAACTTCCCAAAAATAACACATTTTTTATTAACATTGTTAAGGTTTTTAGCTCAGTATTCCCAGAGACGTGGACCTAAGAATTAATAGCATTAATTTAATTATGTTAGAAATTAATAAAAATAGAATCAGTTTGTAAAAAAAAAAAAGTTAAGATCCTTAAAAATTCCAACACTTCTGTGGGGGGTTCTACCAAGGAGGGAAGATGGAGAAAGATGTCCCCGGGGCCAGTGTAGAAATTCAGAAGATCTCTGGGCAGCCCAAACGTTAGTGCCAGCACACAGCCCTCCACTTAACCTGCCAGGGAGCCAACCAAGGGGTCCCCATTTCCCAGCTTCTTCCTGGTCTCGCTGCTTGTCCCCCTTATGGCTACTTAGAAGTCTGTGCTTTTCCTCCCATCTCATGGAGAGTAGGGGATGAGGGCAGTTCTGATTGACAGTGATACAGTTAAAGGGACTGCAAGGGGATTGGGACAGCCCTGGTGACACTGACTTTCGGGGTTAGAATGCACTTTCATTGTTCCTTTCTGTAACCAGTCCCTAACCTGTCAGCAAACACCCCAGCAGCCCTGGTAGCCTTCGTACAGCCCCTCCTGCTGTAAGCACAAGATTGGGATCCTGAGTACATTCCTCCTTGCCTGTGAGCAAGGCAGTGGTCTCTGGTCTAGCCCCAGTGAGGCCACACCCCTTCCATCATTTCACAGGTTCACAGATATGGTGGCAACGGCCAGCAACAGGCAGACCTTTGTCACCTCAGCCACAAGGTTTCTGCGTACTCACAGTTTTGATGGCCTTGACCTTGACTGGGAGTACCCGGGAAGCGGCAGGAGTCCTGCAGTAGACAAAGAGAGATTCACAGCCTTGCTGCAAGTATGGTTGGTGTGACTAGAGTCACCTAGTCTGCCAAGTGACTCAGGGTGGTGGCCCTACAGTGCTTGAGTGCTGCTATGTCCCCAGGGCCAGCAGCTTCAGACTCCAGAGTATGAACACCTATGGGTGAGGGTGGGGGTGTGACAGAGTGGAGGGTCCTGCGGCTCCTGCCTCTGCCTTCACTCCGCATTCTTCCCGCAGGACTTGGCCATAGCTTTCCAGGAGGAAGACCAGAGCTCAGGGAAGGAACGACTCCTTCTGACTGCAGCTGTGCCCACTGGACATGACCATGTGGATGCTGGCTATGAGGTGGACAAGATTGCTCTGTGAGGCTCAGGCAGCCTATGTAGACCCCATGTCCTCCAAGGCTGGAGAGGTCCAGGGTGGTTGAGCTCCCTGGAAATGGAGCCGATCTTTGCCTGCAAAATGTGACTTTCAGTCAGGCGGTGATGATGCACACCTTTAATCCCAGCACTCGAGAGGCAGAGGCAGGCAGATCTCTGGACCAGCCAGCCTAGTCTACAGAGCCAGTTCCAGGATAGCCAGGGCTACACGGAAAAACCTTGTCTTGAAAAACAAACAAACAAACAACAACAACAACAAAAGAATGTGGCCTTCAGATGCTCCCAGGTGTCTGGGAAGTGTGTTTTCTGTCTCTGTTGCTCGGTTATTCCAGATCTTTTTTTGCAGGTGTGGGTGGGGGTTGCGGTAGGCTGTTTGTTCCTTTCTTCCTTGGGAACTCCCTGTTAAAGAAAGAACACCTTTGGAGCAGGGAGGGAAGAGAAAAGCCTTTAAGTATTTCCAAGAATATGTGGGGGGTGGCATGTTAGCTCCACAGTGTGGTGCATGGAGCTGCAGCCCATATGACACCTGAGAGCTGGTGTGTGTGTGTGTGTGTGTGTGTGTGTGTGTGTGTGTGTGTGTGTG